GTTTGCTGTGGAAACTTAACAAACACATGCTAAGAAAGTGACATGGAGGGGGTTTTGGCCTTTTGCCCATATCTTAAAGTAATTATCCAGTGGCATTTGGACTGTCACATTTTTAGACTGAGTTTCTTGGTGAATTTGATCCCTCCACAGCTGCGATTGGCTTAAACCCTACTGTAAATGAATAGGGTAGCATATCATATCAGCGTCGGGCCTGGATTAACCGTCTTGCCCAAGCTGTTGGATTGCTGATTGCCTGGATCATATTCCTTTGGGTTATGTCCCTGACTTCCAGCTCCATCCATAACCGCCTGGTTTGTCTGCGTAAGCGTATTATTTCCCTTTCTTGTTTGGGGTTGATCGTTCTCCCCAAATTGCAAAGTGTGGCTTTTGTGGGAGGAGAAGGGGAAGATAAGTGACTTGTGAGTGTTAAAAAGTATTCATTTAAGGTTGTTCTTAGCATGTAGAAAAGAATGTGAGTTCTTTTTAAGAAATCCGGATTTGTAACTTCTCGGCAAATTTCAACCGCTTTAGAGTATTGGAAGTGGGAATTGTTTGGAGGAAGGAATTTTTCATATAAGTTTCAAAATTTGCTTGGCTGAATGGCTAGGGGCACATTGACAGGGGTCTAGGTGAAGTGTTCGTATTTTTTTAGCAGCCCCTGCCCTTACGTCTCATTTGAGCTTCTGTACGACTGTAGTAATACCTCTGTAAAAGCAAGGAAATCAAGTCCATCTGTTTTTTTCTAACTATGAAAAGGAGAAGAACTTTTTTTCTTTCTAAAACCCTTGTACCTTCTTCAGACTGCGCGTGTGAGTCTGTCTACATCTGTGTGCATCTGCATGCTTTTTTGATGAAGAATTTCAAATTGAAATACACCTCAGCAACTCTCGGGCCTCACTTGAGGCCTTCCAAATGATCGTATCTCTTGAATGCCTAGTATGCTGCCTGAAGAGTTGCTGCAAATATTTGGAAGCTGTGGGTTTTGGCATGTAAAAGCACTTGTTCTTAAGCTGTGCTAGCTTATAATATTATCTTGCTGGTGCAGCTGAAGAGATACTGGCAAACAAGGTGGAATATTAATTTTCTGTTCCGTAAATGCATTGATTATCCCTTTGGGTGAGATCTCATCTGCTTTTTGTACTTTGCTCAGTTTTTTCCAGTTGATCAGCAGCACCTTGCTTCCACAAACAGGAATGTTCTCCTGGAGCTCTGAGCCAGCTTTTGCAGAAGATGCTGAACATTAAACCTGGTCTCTGTTCTCTAGTCACGCTAGGAAAATGATTGCCATTTTGAGAGAGGGAATGTAGCAGTTGATCTGAGAACAGTGGAATAGTTTGAGTTAGTATGGTACTTATTTTGCTTTCATGCTCATGAGATAAATGTAAGTGCAATGAGGGCACTAGTGTGAGAGCTCAGTCATGTTACTTCCACGTAGCTAAGTCAATAATATATTTGAATTTAGTTATATGAGGTAGCATACTGTTATAGATGCCTGTGTTTTTGGAATCTATTTCTATTGTTCAGGTAACCATTTCTGGCAGAATTATCCACAGATGTGAAAATGAGGCAAGTGGCACCAGTGTTGCATTTTTAATTTTAGACAGCTGCTTCATGTTTTGAATTTCATTGCACAGGCTAAAGAGATACATCACCCTTCAGCAAGGCAGCCGTGGGGAAGTAGGATGTATGGAAGAATTATGGTATTTGTTCAAGTCTGCATCAGTCTTGAATGAAGAGTTTCAATTAATGGTTCTCTGAGATAGCAGTGGGTTCGCTACAGATCATCAGAGGTGTTTTTAATTACCTGGCAATCTTAACTTCTTCTGTCTTTCAGATTTATCTCCTCTTTAGAGGATCTTATTCTTGTTCCAATACTTAAGACTATTGCAGAACACTAGCTGTTGTTCACTTGTTTTGTAACATACTTGTTAATACTTAGTTATTGAAATAAATTACTTTCTATAACATAATGAGATACTTCTCTATAACTTTGTAACTTGTTAGCATTTTAGGTTAGCTTGTCCCATTTTTTTTTTTTTTCTTCTGTGTTCTGCTCGCATCACACTATAGCAGAAGGGAGAGAAATACCTTTTTCTTCCTTGGTAGGTGAAGCTGAGTACTTCACTACAAGCGCTGTCTCCTGCTGCTGCTTTTCTCTTGTTCCCTGTCTCTTCTCTCTGCCCCTTTTCCCCCAAAGTACTCTCTCGCCCATTGCTGTTTCCATGAAATCCCTGAGTGGAGGGAAGTAAGAAGATCTTTGCTCAATAGATTTGGCCCTACTTATTCCACCGTAAAGCTAAGCTTGAGCTGTAGTTTGGGATCACCTACTTGGGCGTGCTAAGGAACAAATTCGAAGTTTCATGCTCACATCAAGTAAACGTTAAATCGCACAAGCATACTGTTGTTTTGCAGAACATCTAGCACGCCATGTCTGAGGGCATGCTGGAACCTTATCTTCAAAGGCTATCTTCTAAAAATACAACGCATTAAGATTGCATTTTGCTTTTATTTGCACACATGAAAGTAATATAGTAAGAAGGTGTTAAGGCACCTCTTGAATGTGTGACTCAGTGAAAGATAGGCTTGTAGAGCTATTTCATGAGAAACTAAATTTGTGGAACGTAAAAACTTGGCTTGCCTGCAAAATGCTTCTGGTACTTCAGAAGAAATATGTCGCAGCATTTATCAGTATGTGCCAGATTGATAGCCACTGACCTTACCCCCTTTTTCTGGGGATCAAAATTGTGAGATTAAATACAGGATTTCTGTAGAGGGGGCTTTTAAGGGAGGCTCCTGAATTATCGTGCAGTTACGCACCAGCAGTGTGTAACAGTATTCAAAATCCTAAACAAGTGGCCTGGCTTTCAAAAGTGCTGAACAGTCAGAAGCTCCTATTGAGCACAGTGGCAGCTGAGGGGTGACTCAACATTTCTGAAGATCATTCCACTTAAATAAGGATTTATTTGCTTGATCTTAGTCTTCTGAAAGTCAGCAAGCAAAATTCTCATTCATGGTTTTAGGGGTGTAGAAGATAGAGCTGCATGTCTAATTTTAAGCATCTCTTTATTTAAAGCTCTTTTGGCTAATGGCTTTATCAAGTCACTTATTTATGATTACTTATGCATATCAATCTGGGATGCTGTTTTATATTTAAGGAAAATGATGTTCTATTCTGTTTTAGCTGGCAAGCTTTTATGGATTTATGCGAGTGTGAGTTGCCATGGAGAATGACTGGCAGGTTAAGCTTGACTTTTAAAAGAGGCTTATTGAGTTGAAGCACAAAAAAACCTAGCAATGAGAGAGAAACTTCTATAGCTAGGTAAAATGATCTTACTCAAACTTTTAGGTAATTGTTTTCCTTTGGGAGAAATAAGGTCCAGAAGCATCCTTACAAAAGAAGAAAACTATTGAAGATGGAGTGGGGGGCAAGGATTTGCAATGTGGTTTTTTCCAAGTATACCAAAGCATGCTGTATTCAAGTTGAAATTGGAGAAAATATTAAATAGGGAAGACTTTGTTTCCTTTTATAATTGTGCTGGATTTGTGTTACAATATTCCTTGTACAAGAAGGGGAGCCATGCATTCACACTGTAATTTGTGTGATGCGTTAACTTTCTAAATTAACATCCCACTCTTATTTTTGTGCAACGCGTTTGTTTCCAATAAATAGCTGCTACTACCATACCTCTAATAACATGGAAAATTCCAGTGCAGTAACAGGTCTTTGACTGGATGTGTTTGTTCCCCAGATAATGTGAACAAACCTTTTTTTCCTTAACTGTTGAAATCAAGTCTATTTTATTTACATTGCTGAGAACAACATGTTAGTTTCAGAAAGGCTTATATTTTAAGCTTAGTCAGAAAATGTAAATGTAGTAAAATCACTTAGGTGTATTTGCTGCCAGTGTCTTAAGAAAGTCAGACCACATAGAATGGTGTTAGTGGACGACTACCTGAAGGAAGAGCTGCTTGATCAACCAAAGCAGCTCTTTGACAATAGACTACTTTTCTGTGAGTGCACGAAACCTGCTGTCCTATGTTTCTGGATAAAGCAAGATAAAGCGTAGCAATTAGCTCATTCAGAATTGAGAAAATCAGGCCAGCTCTTCTTCTAATTTGTGAATTAAAGGAAACTTCAAAAGGATGAGGTCTGTTGGCTTTGAGAAGAATGACTTCATGACCAGAAACCACTGCAGGTTCTTAGCAAATGGAGTTTAAAGGCCAAATGTGTTAGGAGGGATTTATTCCTTATCTTATATTTAGTGTAATTAAGACAGTTCCGTCTGAGACAATTTGGAAGTGCTTTTTTAGTGACTTCAGTTGATTTGTCTTGATCCAGAAGAAGCTGGATCCAAACAACTAAAGACAAATATGCCAGTTGGGATTTTCCTGTATAAAGATACACACGATACTAATTTACATAAATATGTATTAAGCTAATGGCCAGGTACAATTTTTGCCTTTCTGATTAGTGAAGAGAAATAGAGGTAGTCTGAGGTCAGAACATGGCTGAACTGTTTGAACAGGATTATGAAATAAAGATGACAGATGATTCTGGTGTGCATTCATGCTTCTTCACTATTCAAATTTTGTTTAAATCAATGCCCCTTGATCCCCAGTCAGTATTTTCACTTGGTGTCCTCCTACCAGTATAAAACATAGGAAATCATTGTCACTGTTCCTTTCCTGATTCAGAGCCTGTTCATCTAATAATCCCTACCTTTCTATATGTACATACTATGTGTACATGTATATAAACTATATTCTTTATTTAAATATTGTTACTAGGGGAAAAATATAATCTTATATCTAAAACTGTGCAAGCAGTGTCTTAAGCATGTTTTAGCTATCATGGGACAAGCAATGCAGTTTTTTCATGTGCTTTTAATATCCTGCACTTAGCTTGAAAATAAAAGAAGCAAAAAGCCACAGACTTCCTTAGAAACATGATCTGCAATTTGTTAAAAACAATTCTAATGTAGATATTTTTTCCTCCTAGGTTTTACCAAGAGACAGTACATCTAACACTTAACTTGGATCATCTCTTGTTCATCAGCTTGAAAATCATAACAGCCCCCCAAACTGACATTTGATCTGAAAGAAAAAGCTGTGACAAATGGACAATATGTCTATTACTAACACGCCAACAAGTAATGATGCTTGTCTGAGCATTGTTCACAGCTTGATGTGCCATCGACAAGGTGGAGAGAGTGAAACTTTTGCAAAACGCGCAATTGAAAGTTTAGTTAAAAAGCTAAAGGAGAAAAAAGATGAATTGGATTCTTTGATTACAGCTATAACCACAAATGGAGCTCATCCTAGCAAGTGTGTTACAATACAGAGAACGCTGGATGGGAGGCTTCAGGTTAGTACAAGTGAAAATCAGATGTTTTCCTCCTAGTGAAGCTGGAGCAAAAGTGAGTGATGCAGGATCCTAGAGTGTTGAGGAAGAGTAGCTCTTCTCTTGCATCCCCCTTCGCCCCCATTTGTAGGCATGTTTTGTGGCTGGAGCTCTGGACTGCTGCAGTAGTTGATTTTTTTTTTTTTTCAAAAGGAGCAGAAGGCGTTGGATCAGCCGTTCTAAACGAGTGTGTGTGTGGCAGTAAAAAGCAGGGTCACGTAACAAATTCGGCTGTTTATCCTGGTATTTTCACTACAAGCTTCTGTTAGCTCTGTGTTGGTCAGCAGTGTGAAGAAAGACCTATGATCCCTTGCTAAGGTACTCCAAGGAGTCTGCACTGAGGATTTATGTTAGCCTTTTATCGTCAGTACTCAGTACCTGTATAGCTTGGGTTGCGATTTCCTTGTTCCAGGACAGATGTCATGTTTGCTGGCTAGCTTTCTGTCTACCCTAGAAGCATTTTTTTTTTTTTCCAATATAATGGATTGGCATTCTTCTACTTGTAAATTCCTTATAGTGTAGCTTAGTGCCTCGTTCCTCTTCTTCTGGGGCAAAGCTCCTTCATCATCCATGGTGGGGAAGGTGACCATACATACTACATTAAGCACAAATTCTGCTTCTGCCATTATGTATCCAATATTTTTTCTTAAGAATCACAGTGTTGACTTAACTGTAGCAAAACCCTAATAGAAATTTATTTCTGTTGAGTACAGAACTTGGGTAAACTGTACACCACCTTTTTTTTCATATTTTGATGATGGAGAGAGGCTGTGTTGTTGTTTGTCCTCTTCCAGCTTTGCTCCTCGCTAAGTAAAGGGAAATGTCTTGCTACTTTCCCAATCAACTTTTGTGTCTAACTTTTTAGGTGGCTGGTCGCAAGGGATTCCCTCATGTGATTTACGCTCGTCTTTGGAGGTGGCCTGATCTTCATAAAAATGAACTCAAGCATGTTAAATATTGTCAGTATGCTTTTGACTTAAAATGTGACAGTGTCTGTGTAAATCCTTACCATTATGAGCGTGTAGTATCGCCTGGCATTGGTAAGTAGACTCTTGATTTAAAATGGAACAGTGGGAAAAATGTTTTCCTTTTGAGTGTAGAAAATACAGGCCTAAATTAGAAACATTAACTTTTAATGATCTAATTATAAATTACTCTCATATGCTCTTGTCCATCTTCATAATGGAATTATTCTTCTACCTTTATTCCAAATTTGAAAGAACAGTTTGTGGCTTTTGTTTAAGTCTTTCTGTTGGCTTTGCACACAGTTCTTACAGTTAATGTGTTTCCTAGGAATAACTTAGCGTTGAGTCTTGTGTTGTGATGGAGGGGGTATAATATGTAGAGTCTGTAGTACTAATTTGTAAAGGCTTATAAACTTAATGTTCAAATGTTGTTGAAGATCTCTGTGTATACAATCCTCCACACCCCCTTTTCTTTTTCTTCCTTTTAAAGATCTCTCAGGACTGACACTACAGAGTTCTGGTAAGTAGTTCTGTTTACTATTGCATTTCTATGTGCACAAACTGTGTTAAACTCTTCAGTATGTACACAGTTTATTCCTGTGTATCTCCTTGGGAGGGAGTATAGAGAGCAGATGGAAATGCATTTGTCTCTCTGGTTTTGGAAAACCAGCTAAGTATCATATGAGAGGCAAGTATTGATAAATGCTTTAAATTGAGGCTTCAGCTGAGCTTGTAGGTATGTTCTGTTTTCACTGCAACTTAGAGACCCCAACAAAAAAAAAAAACCAAAAAACCTCACTGTTGAATGCTGCTAATTAAAAAAACCCAAACAAAACCAAACCAAAACCCAACATTCCAAAATGTGTGCACCTGTATGATATATTAATTAACTGAATTGGGAATAATAGATGCTTATAACTTAATAAGTAGTTTAACAAGAAAATAATAGAAATTCTGTAATTAATATGCAATTGAATGAAGCAGTCTAATATTCTTGCTCTCCCTGAAACTTGAGAGAAATTGGACATTAAATGTCCAATGAACATTATTCAGAAATCTGAGATTGCAGCCAGCTGGTAACTGCTTTATTTCAAAACTAAATTTTTTTTTCCTTCCAGAAGAAATTCGTAGAGAAGGAAAATTGGATAATCCAATGTTTTTAGCACATTATTAGAAGTATTCAAGCAAAAATGACTTAAAAAAACCCCAAGCAACCCAACAAACTGTTAACTTCACAAGCTTTAACTTGTGTGCTCATCTCTGCTAATATGCGTTGTTACCTGTGTCTTCTGAAAAATGATCCTTTTGTACAGAATCAAAGCTTACTAGCCAGTAGTTAAATACGTAAGTGTTTCCTTGTTGTGCTACTGTTTTTGCAGCAGGAAACAGAAAATTACTGTCAGATTTTAATATATTTAAAGCTGCTTTAAAAATGAGAATGGGAGCTAATATAGTGCAAGAGTTTTACTTGAACATGCTCAATAGGATATACAGAAATAAATTCTTGTAGTGGTGATGGTTGTAATTTCCTTACACTGTATGTGCAATATTCTGAATTAGTGGCTACGTTGTTAAGTATAGAGTAGTGTTATATTGTCTTTGAATGTGAATTTGATGTTTCTAGTGAATTTGGATGGGAGTTGCTTAAAATTACTTAAGGGATGCATAAAGTTTTTAATGTGCTATGTTCGTGAATTACATTTTTCATAGGAGCTTTATGTATGTTCTTACTTGTATACTAGGAATTTGTTAGCTACTGCATTAACGTTAGGTGCTTGACAAAAAGCATATTTTTCCCTTTTATTAACCATGTCCAATCACACAGTGATGGACTAGAAAACAAAATGCTGTTGGAGTCTCCTACTGTGGGACTAAACTGCTTGTTTGATAGCAGTGAGCAAAATAAACAGTTTGTTTTTCCATCCAGTTATGCTTCGAAATTTCCTGCTGCTGATTTGGAAGTGTTTATTTGTAATTTAGAGGAGTGCTTTAGCAATGTTTATATAGGTTAAATCCTCTCCGCAGTAGTTTTAATAGCATTGTTATTGCTTGAAAGTAGCAGTGCAATTTGTAGTTAAATCCTGAAAATAGATTTGCTTTGCAAGTTTAACCATTTGCTTCTTCACAGCTCCATCAAGCATGTTGGTGAAAGACGAATACGTTCACGACTACGAGGGGCAGCCGTCATTGTCTTCTGCCGAAGGCCATTCAGTCCAAACCATCCAGCATCCACCAAGTAACAGGGCATCTACAGAGCCTTATAGCACCCCAGCCATGTTAGCTCCTACTGAGGCTAGCACTACCAGCACCACTAATTTTCCCAACATTCCTGTGGCTTCAACAAGTAAGATCATCGAGATTATATGAAATACTAAACTGTGAACATGAGAAAGCTCAAAGATAACCACTGATTTTTGCCAAAGTAGATCTTGCATTGGAACTGTGCTGCTGCCACACTACACTGATAAAGTGTGGGGCAGTGTGATCTAGGCAGTCTCCTAAGTGTTAACGTAAGGTTTTGACTTCGAGCATAATTTGAGCAGCTTTTCCTGGTGACCCAGTCTTTTTTCAATGCGACTGACACTACATGAGTGTTAAAAGACTGTTTTGGATATGCCAAAGGTTCATTAATACGATGTTAAAACAATTGACCACTGACAAAACATTATGGCTATTATTGGAACAATTGCTGTAGGAATGGAAAAATTTTATTGTTTTGCTAAAACAGCAAGTGGTACAACAAACGGATATACTGTAAGGTGGCAGTATCGAGAGGTTTTCAGACAATTCTTTAGTGTTCCACAGCTGACAAGATGAGTCTTACAGTTTTAACTTGATTATTTTTATAATGGCGCACTGTACTACCAAAGTAACAGCCCTAATTAATATTTTCACGAGTCCATTGGAATGCTGCATTGAAGTTTTTCTTACTTTTTTGTGTGTATTTGTTACAAGTGGAAGAGTCTGGTTTACCAACATCAAACCTCACTCTTCACTCCAGCAGGACAGTAAAGCAGTTATGTATGCAGTGTCCTGCAGCCCTGATGTAGGGAAACCATGAAGTTTGGAAGGGTTTCACATACTCTTCGTCACTTTAATACCAAAGATGTGTGAATATAATGGATTTCATGTTATCAGATTTGAATTATGGTGGCACAGTGTTTTGATAATGTTCTTTAATTTTAGCTGACAACTTTTTTGCTAAAACTAATGGTGGTTTTGCCAAGCTGAGACACGATGTCTGTATTAGTCTCCAGGAGAGAAAAAAGGATAGGCAGTTTAATTGTATTGCCTTTGTACAGCAGTTTGTAGTCAGTAACTTTTTTCATCAGTGCTATAATTGTTGGGAGCCAAGTGGACAGGAAAAAAAGCTCATTTTTAGGTTTTAGTTCAAGTTTTCAATGTGTTAAATTCTGCTAGCCACACCAGTTTGAGAGTGCAAGTGTACTTGTGAAACTGCTGGTCAGTTTAGTGTTAATGGCTGAGCTGAAGCCTTTTAAAATCAAACTCTGTTAACCTGTTCTGAAATATCCGTAGTTTTACTTTAAAGCTTAGACAATTCTTGAGATACTTATTTGGGAGAAAAAAATCCCAGCAACTTTCTCAGGAAGGAGTCCAGTGATGTATGCAGCTCTATTCAAGCACTAATTTTAAAAATAAAATACTGTTCAGTATGTTTTGGAGGAATGTAAATTTAAGCGAGTGTCCTCCTTAGGAACAGTAGTTATAACATGCTGAAAATAAGCAACTTATTGGACCTACTGTTGGCCTGTTTGGATTCATACCAAATCTACTCCAGCTATGTTATTCAATAAAACCTGTGACATCTCTTCTTCTTTCCTTTCAAACTGAAAAACAAGATGTGAACAAAACAAAGATGCGGTTGATAAACAGAGTTCTCTGCATACTTCTACTCCTAACTTATGAAGGGTGTCAGAATCAAAATCAGCTGATGCAGAGCATCTTGCTTCAAGTTTCCTAAGACACTCTGGCGGGTGGAAAAAAATACTGAAACCAAACTTGTAGGAACTGTGTATTGCAGTGCCCTTAGTTGGGTGTATTTTCCTACCCAGTACTGCTGAGCTCTTCTTAATTAAAATTTTGGAACGTTCATGAATAGGTAGTGTGTTCTTTTACCAGGTCAACCTACCAGTATATTGACAGGTAGCCATAGTGATGGACTCTTACAGATTGCTTCAGGGCCTCAGCCAGGAACTCAGCAGAATGGGTTTACAGCTCAGCCAGCTACTTACCATCACAGTGAGTATATACATATGTGCACTCTTCTTAGTTTTCTAAAACCAGTTTCCAAATGTTCAGGAGAAATAGAGGATTAGAAGTGAGATGCGAAAAAACTCCCTTAAAAATCAACCACTCCTTTCTTTTTCTAGATAGTACTACAACTTGGACTGGAAGTCGGACGGCAGCCTACACACCTACCATACCTCACCACCAGAATGGCCATCTTCAGCATCATCCACCTATGCATCCTGGACATTACTGTAAGTAGTGCAGATTTTCAAATCACTTCGTTTTCAATTCTGTTGAATGGTGGGGGCTCATTTGTGATTATTCTTTACCCTCAAATCCTTTTTTTTTTCTTTTTCGTTATAGAACTACCGTTACTGTGTTTAATATATTCTGACAGTTAAATGTAAGAGCTTGATGGACTTTTCTCCATTAAAGCAGCAGAGATTAGAAATTCAGATCGCTATACCATCTATATTATAGATGTCTTACTGTACCTAACAAAACCAGCATTTCCTTTCTAAACCTCTATTTTTAAAGCTTTGCAATCTAGTAGTAAATATTTCCTTTGTGGAAAAAGAAGTTGATTCAGATGTGTTGTTTGGATATTCTTTGTTTCAAAACTTGGAAGTTCCTGGCTGTTTTTATTTTCTAGAAATTCTGAAGTCATGTCTTAATGATGTAACAATCTACATTAAGCTTTGGAAGATGTGTGTCCGTGTACACTATCCTGTTTAAAAGAACTTTGTGAAAGCTCATGCAGTAAAGTACTTGTCAATAAAGTGGTCTTGCTACAACCTGATTCATGAGTACATTTGGCACACAAACTTGAAAATCTTTTTCATCTACAAAATAGGACCACAACTTCTTGTTTTAAGGTACAGGAGATAGGAAGGAAAAAAAAAGTGATCAAACTTCTAGTGTAAGTGTCTAGCACAGTATATGCATCATAAGAGTATAGCGTGCACACCCCCCTCCCTCAGTTAAAGTTTTTTCTAAATTTCGTGGCAAAAAGTTTGAACGGTTCTTTATTTCCTAATATAGTACTTAACCAGATCACCTGTTTGTAGCAGTCATTAGTGGAGGGGAGATATACTGTGAGTTAATGTTAGAATGACTTTTCAGCTTGTTTCTATCAAGTAAATTGTGGTTTAGATACGGTTATGAAGTTTCATTATTTTGTTCTGTTAGGATACCACTTCATTTGTCATCTTATTTGTCAGAAATATGAGTATGTAAAGACTTTACTGGTGCTGTAGATATTGTATAAATGTTTCTTAGTGCATGTATCTTTCCATAATTAATAGTTGTAACTGGCTGGTGATAACCACATAAAGCTTTTCTTGGCTGCTCTTCTCACTTCAGAAAGCCGCATGTTTTGACACCTACCAACATTGTGCCTGTTTTGACATCTTGTTGCAAAAGCTGCTGTTACTTATAATACTATGTTTTAAGTCTTTCCTTCTTGTTCTCTGCTGCCTGTAAGGGACCTAGTTAGTTTATAAAAGTGGAGAGAATAAACTGGCTGATACAAAGACTGTATTCAGTATTTTTTCCTTTAGAAAATTACTTCTCTAGGGCTTTTTTCAGTCTTCAGGGAGTGTTTCTTATGGTCAAGTCCACAGCATGCTGGGCAACTTGTTCTGTGATTGATGAAACTAAGAAAGTGTGGTTTCTGACAGATTTATATCACATGCCTCTCTACAATGATTCTCGCCTTGCTCAACTTGGGGCAGATGTGAAGCCTAAGTCCTATTTCTATTACATCTCTGTGCTACATCTGGTTTCTGCTCTCTCCTGGAGCTGGGTCTAGCTTGAGCAGCATGCAGCCTTTCCTCCTGGGATACTAATGGAGCTCTTTGCTCTACTCAACTTCTGAATTTTTAGGAGACCTCTAAGAGTGTAATTCTTCTGTAGGCATTTTTCTCCCCTGTCAGATTTGGCCAATTGATTCAGAAATTACTGGGATTTATAACATCTGGCATCCTCACAAGTCTTTTTTCATAGGAAAACAAGTTAAGAAAGAAAACCTTATTTTTCCTTGTGTAAAACAAATTGCATGTTTTCTTTTAAAGGGCCAGTTCACAATGAACTTGCATTCCAGCCTCCTATATCAAATCATCCTGGTGAGTAAAATCTAACATGTAGCGCTAATATTGTGGAAGCTAATAACTTTGTGGTTTGAGTCTGATTTTTTTTTTTTTTTTGGTATCAAGTACTCTGAAATTTGTGAGATATATATTCAAAAGGGGAGGAAAGGAGGAGAGGAACTATTTTATGTCTTAGAATGGTGAGATAGGCTGCAAATGGAATTTAATTTAGATGCCTAAGTAAAAAATTGCAATCCTCAAACCCACACTGAGCTGGTGCCTACCCTAGAGGTGTCTGAACTCTGAATGTCCTCGATCCTAAACTTTGCAGGGTGCCTGAAGCTGTACTTTTGCCTGCTTTTAGAAACATCATGGGCTTTAGGTCATGCCAAAGCCCTCTTGGATCTATAGTCTAGAAGTCCACCATCACAGCCAGATACCCTGAAAGACAGGTATTGCCCTCCTTAGCATTTTGGTGCTAAAGTTTCTCTTGGACCTTTGCTTAGAAGCTTGCTCTTTCCAAGAGTCTTCATTAATGGTGGTGGTTCGTGGAACCAAGGAGGTCTTGTCTTGCGGTACAAGTTAGCTCTGTTGCAGGTGCAAGGTGGTATTCCGTTTTTAACAACAGCAACCAAAGCTGTTGCCTGCACAGGGAGAGCTGCATAGTTGAAAAACCTAAAAGTTTAACTCATTCATTGGTCAGTGACTAAATCAGTACCAGAAATAAAAGTGTTGATAATTGCTGGCTGAACTTAACTGTAGCTAAATTGTATTTCATCTTATTTAGTATGTCTCTTTCACCCTATTGATTCACCTATTGATTTCATCCTGTTCAGTCCTCAGAGACATGAGTATTTATTTGAAGATAAAACAAATTAAAGGAATTCAGGTACCTGGGTTTATTCTAATAAAACCAGAGCAACAGTTTAGGACAAGTAGGTGTGCTGTTGGGTGCTGCTGTTTGTAATGGATGAGTACCACTTAGGGCACTGGGAGAGCTCTTTTTCCTGTTGGCTTATCAGGCTGCTGTGTTTAGGTCCCATCACATTAGGTCTTCTGCTTCCCCTGTTTTGAGTACACTGTAGCACTGATTTTCTTTGCCCTCCCCAACAAGCTGCTTAAGTGCCAGCTGTGTTACCCTTTTGTGGAAATGGGCCCTTATAGTCAGCAAAGGTGCCGAGTCCCTGAGATCCCCAGTGACTTCAGCTTATGGCAACTTTAGGTTTTAATGTGTCTGAAGAGAGAAACTCTAACACTTAAAAGCACGCAAAACAAACCGTGCAGAAGGCTTGACAAGCCATTTGCTCCCAGGTGGCACACAAGCAGCAGATACACATACACAAAATCACTTTGAGTGCTTTGTCAGGTTTCCTCGCTTACTTGAGTGGGTTTCAGTAGCATCCTCTAGGGAGTCAGAGTTTCCTTTCCTCATGTGGTAGCTTCTTCCAAGTATCATCTTTCCTTTGTAGCCAGTTTTTCTTTTTAAAATAGTATGAGTTAAAAGGCACCTCTCTGCTATTAAAACATGCCATTTTGTTCTGCTCCCTTGCTTAATGCTTCCTTGTTTTATCCCATGCCTGATTTTCCTGTGTGCAGACAAGATCAGTATGTGATCTTTGATGTTTCTCCCCCATTGCCCTGCTTTCCAAATCCAGTTTACTTTGCAGGGAGGAAAGAGAAAACTGACTTCACCTAGGAGGTAGTTACTTATCTTAAGCCAGGTCTGTTTGAGAGTTAGTTCCAATCAGCCTAGCCACGAATAGGCATGTATGTATTACTACTTCATGCTAAAGGAAGACAAAATCAAGCTATAGTCATAAGGTGCAGGAATGTAGATGGCTTACAAAATCTAGCTGGCATTATAAAGTGTGCAAGGACTTGTAAGATCTTAACTACAAAAAACCCTAGCATTGACATGTGCTTAAATAAAAATGACAAGCCCATGTTGGTTGCAGTATGTAGTACTTTTCTGTGCTCGCAGACATCTTTGTCTACCTGAACTTGCTTATGTGAATGTGCACTCTTACTATGAATGACAAATGGAGTTGCAGAAGGCTTAATTGATTGTCTGAAATGGGTTTATAGGGTTTTTTTGTGCCTTTCAGTCAGTTAATTGTATATATTCTTTAGCTCCAGAATATTGGTGTTCAATCGCATATTTTGAAATGGACGTGCAAGTTGGGGAAACGTTTAAGGTCCCTTCAAGCTGTCCAATTGTTACTGTTGATGGATATGTGGATCCTTCTGGAGGAGACCGTTTTTGCCTGGGCCAGCTTTCCAACGTGCATAGAACAGAAGCCATTGAGAGAGCAAGGTATTCTGCAGATCCCAAAAGCTCCAGCTGTCTGTGGTATTTGATAATATTTTGGTTTGCCTTCAGTGTGTGCCTCCCTTTTGAAATTACAAGTACGGTATGTTTCTTTTAACTGAATTAACTATAGCAGAGTATATCTTTCTAGGCCACTACTGTAATGCATTCAAAATGTGAACTGTGTGACAAAGACCTTCAGTGCTTTGCAATAGCGCATTGCTTTTCATTGCTTTCAAAGGCTGTGCCTTCAAGGATAAAATTAGCAACTCGTGCCATTATGTATGCAAGCTGAATATTAGCTCTCCGCACCACAGAGTGATGTGAGAATAACTGCAATATATAGATTTGTCAAAGGAGCAAAGGAAGGTTGATAGAGAGCTAGTTGGATTTTCATTCATTCTCACCATGCATCTGCTAGGCTTTGATGTGGAAGCATAGAGAACTGAAGCAATCTTGCAACTTTTTTTCCTCTTTGAAACGAAAAGGAAATGATTCCATGTCTTCAGAAATGTCGCATTGTGACAATCAAAATGCTAGATTGCTGTAATGTGATCCAAATGAACATACAGTTCTGCATTTAAAATGTGGCTTTGTATATGTACTTGAGTGACTTTCTATACTAGCATGCTTGTGGGATTTTATACTTTCGAACAGAACTGAATGCGTTTAGTATCCCAGCTCTGTGTTGTCAGTGAGTGTGGTAGTTGCTACTTGAATGTCACTGCTTCTGTGTTCTCTGTTTCCCATAGATCTTTACATGGTATTACAGATGGTTTCTTACTTTACAGATTTTGTGTAACTATATACTAGCTTATACCCAAGATAATAACTACAATTTCAAGTCTTTGTATGAGTGAAGTGTAAATTAAGGTATCACAGATGACTGTAGAGCTGGAGAATTGTTTATGGTTTATTTAGTCAAGGTCTCATTTATAGTATGTATACACAGGTGCATTGGAACTGTTTTTCTTTTTAAGGTTGCACATAGGTAAAGGGGTGCAGTTGGAGTGCAAAGGAGAAGGTGACGTGTGGGTTAGATGCCTCAGCGACCATGCAGTCTTCGTTCAGAGTTACTACCTGGATAGAGAAGCAGGGCGCGCACCAGGGGATGCTGTTCACAAGATTTACCCAAGTGCATACATAAAGGTTGGTTTGATGGTCCTGGATGAAAATAGTGGGGGACAACAGCATGCACTTAGTTCTTGTGAATGTTAGGGAAGCTATGAGACGCTGAAATAAATGTAACTTTGCTTTTGATTTTCCTTCTAAAAAAAACTAAACCTTTCCATTTGACAAGTCACTTAAGATGACTTTTTAAAATTACTCTAAACAGGAAGATATTACTACCTAGATACTACGAAAGAAACTAATTTTGTATTTCACCACAAACAATCTTGATAGCAGTTTTTTGTATTTTTAGACTGACAGTTTTAAATTAACTGCTACTAAAATTCTTAGCATAGGTTATCTGTTTCTCTACTCTCTCTCCAAAACAAGAAAAGCTGGGAAAGTTTGTGTAAATGCAGTAGAAGAGTAAAGTGTGTGTTAGTGTTATGAACATGAAGTGATCCAGAGGTCACAGATGGTTGCGTGGAAACATTATTTTCAGGAGATTCTTACTTGGACATGACTCTGCCAGACTTGAAACTTTATTTAGGACAAGTCACACTTCTAAAAAATCATTCTTGAATGAGAGAAACTGCTTAAATTTGCAGGATTTTTTTTTTTTTTTTTTAATCCTCAGTTTTGCAGGCTGATTGTGCAATGAAGGTGAAAGAAGCCCCACTGGCCTCTATGCATGAGCTTTCTGTTATGAGTTCCTGTATATAGTAGTGCCAAGCCTGATCACAAAGATGTAAAAGGCCACTGACCTGAAACCTAGCTGCTGAAACTTCAGGCCTATCAATTATTGGTATTTCTTTTAAATAGACTAACCTATTTCAGTAAAGCAGCAAAGAAGAATAAAGCCTGACAAAGTTAAGTAGAACTTGTTGGCTTCCATTTTTATTTATATGCCTATTTTCTGAAAATCCTGAGATTTAACTAAAAAGTCAGTATTTCATCAGCCTGTAACATCCTTCAGACTTTGATCCCGCAGTTGCTTCCGTGCAGCGTACTACTTTAGCCTGCTCAGTTCAGACCAGTTCTGGTATTGCCAGTGGTGGTAATGTCATATGAGAAGAGTCTATAAGAATCAGCTTTAATGGATTATTTCTATTAGAAATTAAACTAGTCAGGGAAGGTTTGCTTTTGCCCAAGTGTACGGGGAGACTGTAGAAGTTGCTTTGCGAGAGCAGAGAGGCCCATGTTGTTGGGGGTGGGAGTTGAGGAATTCTTTCCTTCACTGATTTTGCTAAGTCTGCATGGTTTGATACCTTTTTTTTTTTTTTTAAGGTGTTTGATTTACGCCAATGTCACCGTCAGATGCAACAGCAGGCTGCCACTGCCCAAGCTGCTGCTGCTGCTCAAGCTGCAGCAGTAGCCGGAAACATCCCTGGACCAGGATCAGTAGGTGGAATAGCCCCAGCCATTAGTAAGTACATTAACTGCTTGGTCCCCTTTTGTCCTTACCTGAAAACTGATAACACAGCTCTCCCTCATAACAGCATCCCCCCACCCAGCCACCCACTACCCTGCCACAACACAAATGAACTTGGAATGAGGTAGCAGGAGTGGGGTTGGGGTGGCATCATGGGAAGTCTGTATTCATTCACTTTGTACCTGCTCCACACACCAGTTTTCACTCTGTAGTCTTCAGGGAATGTTGGGTATGGAAGTGGCTACTTCTTGTATTGCAAGAAGTGTTGCAGTACAACAGAACATGTGTTATATATGACATCAAATAGCATAACCCCGTTACTTTAAACAGAGATACTTTTGGCTGCTTAGACCTGAGCGTGAAAAACGATCTTTGAGATCTAAGCTCTTAAAAATGTCACTCAATGGGGATTACTGGATGACAAGTCCGTGACTAGGTTTAGGGAAACTTAATACTCTTGAGAAGAGGAAGAAGAGAGAGTCAGGGTGCTTTCCTCTTTGCTTTTTCCTCTTTCTTTGCTTTTTCCTCTTTCTTTGCTTTTTCCTCTTTCTTTGCTTTTTCCTCTTATTCTGGGTTAGATTTTTTTTTTTTTTTTAGTTACTAAATCCTAGATCCTTGAAATTGTACCTAAGTACTTTTAAAAGTCTAAGTACTTACATGTCTCGGGCTGCTTTATGTGCCATAGTGTTTTCTGGACTCCCTGTATTGCCATGTGCCTTTTTCCAGCTATCCTACAAATTGCTGAAGGCATTTTGGGGAATGTATTTAACTTTTGTCTTAGCCATACTTGCAATTTGAAGTTTGCCAGCTGTATTAATCTTTTTATTTTATTAGATGTAAGTAGTGTAATTTGTTAATCCAGCTTCCTGCAGGTGGTCAGTCTGAGTTCTCATGCTGAAAATGCAGCATTTGGCAAACCTCAAGCATTGGTATTTTTTGACTATTTTCTGAATAAGATTTACATGGATTGTATCACATAAGACACTAGGTTTCATCATGTCTGCTTTATTATAAGGAGTTTTATACTTCAGCACCCTTTCAAGATTGCAGAATGATGAAAAAGCTTTAATGGGAAGAAATGCAAAATAATTGCTGCGTTCATTATAGCAGAGATCTAGAAATGTGGATTGGCCTTGGCTGTGGTGAGAGGGAACTGTGCATGAAGGAAGAGCCAAGCAAACAGGAATGGCTAAACAAACAGATGATAAAAGAACATGTCTGTGAACACTTACTTGAAACCTTTCCTGTTTAGGTTTGTCAGCTGCTGCTGGAATTGGTGTAGATGACCTTCGCCGCTTATGCATACTCAGGATGAGTTTTGTAAAAGGTTGGGGACCTGATTACCCAAGACAGAGCATCAAAGAGACACCGTGCTGGATTGAAATTCACTTACACCGTGCCCTCCAGCTTCTAGATGAAGTACTTCATACCATGCCTATTGCAGACCCACAACCTTTAGACTGAGATCCCTCTGCTGCACTGCTGTGGGCCATTATATTGTGAGGATGGTGGATTGTAAAATACAATTCTGTTTATAACCTGAAGATATATTTTACTTTTGTTCTGCTTAATCTTCTAAAACCAGGTTTTAAAAATGTGTTTGCCGCCTTGCTCTTAGCAGAAAGAAACTGAACATGCAGAATTTGGATTTCAGTTATTTTCAGAACTTAATTGTCATAATACATGGCTCAGGGCTTAAATTGAAAGGTAAATGCCTTATAGAGACTTTACAGTATTGGGTTTGTTCCCTTCAAAACTTTCCTTCTCTATTATGGCATCTTGGTGATAAGCCTCACAGGAGCCTTTTGTATGCAGAATATATATTATATATATATTTATATCTGAAAATTCCTTCTAATAGTTACAAACATTTACCTTATAGCAACTTTAAAATTCCAACTGATTTGTGATGTTCTTTTTAGGGAACAATAGTTAACAGAAGACTTCTTTATTTTGTTGACTATCTTGTTATGATTTTTCCAGATTAAAACGTAGAAGCTGCCAAAAAGTGAGGGATGAGACATATGTTGTTGGCATTGATTAAAAATAGCAAGGAAAAGAAATGTGGCTTTTCCTTCACTAGTTTTTAAAAAAAGATATCTTAGATTTTTATTTATATAGACACGTGAGTTTTAAAACACTAAAGGAAATGGATACTGTCAGTGCTGGCACTCAATTTAAATATAACATGAAATACCCAGTCTGCAAAGTTGCCACTGAAATTGCATAATGAGTACCTAATGGCAGGAACATATTTTCATAACTACTACTGACTTCTATGATTTTACTCAAGTAAAACTTGGCAGGTATTTTAAAAAGTTGCATGACTCTTTTTACTTGCATATACCATTAAATCATGTATAATATTACATCAATATTTAGGATCCAGTTTTTGTATCTGTTCACCATTTCCACTCAGGGCAAGATGGCAAACTTGTTTTTATACCTCTTGGTTATTTTAAGCCCTATGCCATCAATGACCGTATCAATTGGCAATGACTTTGTATAGAGAATTTATAGTAGAAAAAATGCAAATGTATTGACTGTATGACAGATACAATATGTATGCTTTCTCTCTAGTTAATAGTATAAATAAAATTATGAAACCCTGATTTTTATAAATTTAGTTTGCTTCTATTATGTAATTCTGCACCTTGAAACCATTGATCTTGAGTGATGGATTACTTTCTTTGCAAGACGAGCAGCAGCAGCCAACAGTGGTAGGAATTTTTGTTGGTTTAAACTTGCCAGGAAGCAAGTCCAATTTTTCTTACTTTCACTGCTTCTCAGTAAAAGCATGTCCTGAGGATATCTCTTTTGGCTATTTGATGGGGTATGAAGAGGGAGCAGGAATTCCTTATTTTTCAGCAGGTGCGTAGGGAGTTGGAGCTTAGTTAAACAGGCTTAGAAGTACGTAGACTCCAACTTAAGTCCTTCAAGCGCTGCCAGCTCGGTCTGCCTGCCGTGAGCCGACCTGGCAGCACAGTTGTAGTGGTTAACACAAGTAGAAGTCTTGGAAGAGATTATTCAGAAGCTTTTTGCCAAGTTTCTTGCATAGTTTCAGGAATCTGTAGAGGGCTGTGACACGCAGTGTTTAGGTATTGCTTCCCCCATATGCTGAAATTCTTACGAAAGAAGTCAGCAGTCATTGTTTCAGTCATGGGTGTGGAAGCACAGAGGACAGATGACTTTGGAGCGATGGCCAGAAATGGATGAGGTTTTAGCATATTTACATTAAAAGTGTTGCCTTCTTCAGACTAACTTGTAATGAGATCACTTTTCTTTCCTCGTATGTGGCAACTTCTTGATGTTTGGAAAAATAGTGTTTGCTTTCAGTTAAAAACCTTTTTCATTTTCCTTTGTCTCCTAATGATCCAGTTTGTCCGAAAAGCAAGTTTCTTCAGATTCTTGAGGAACACTTCGAGTAGAGGATTCTGACTACATCCTCCGAAGAAGCTTATTAACCAGTGGCTCGGTTACACTTCATCCACAACGGAAAACTTGCTTTGGGGGAAGAAATGAAAAGCCTGGCTACACATTCTTCTTGCCAACCTCCCTTTTGAATTGTCTGCCCTGCTCTTACTGCCAGGTTCGAGGTGCCTCAGCTTTTGGGAAGTATCTAGCTTCTGATGACTGATCTGTATATGGCTACTTCACAGAAGACCCTCTGTTCCAGTTGCTTACCTTTTGATTGTGCCGAACTTTGATACAGTAGTGAAAGATTGCTTCCGCCTGTTGGTGTTCTTGCCTGTATTACAGTCTGAAAAAAATCAGCTGTTAAGACTAGGGTTTTTTGCAGATGTTTTTGCAAGCCTCCTTAAGTCTCTACCTACAGTGAATGATACCTACAGTGTAGTATTTAGATGCCCCAAACCATTCAGAGTAGAACAATGAAATAGTGTCAGATTAGTTTATCAGAACCAAGAAATCACAGGCCCCACATCAGGAGAAACCTGAACATTGTGTGAGGCAGTAAAAATACTGAAATGGCATTCATCTTATCCACCAGGCAGTTACCGGTAAGATGCACTTGTAACTGTTAAAGGGCAAAATGAGAGAATCTCATTGTCAGTTTTTAATATGCCTTTAACTTAATTTTTATACTTTTATGACAAGGCATAAAAGGCAGCGCATAATGGATTGGAAACCCTGCAGCACATTGAATCTTTGACAGGCTTGCATTTATGTCTATTTCTAAGATTCAAAAAAGAGCTACAGCTCCTTGACAGCCGTGATGATCCCCATACGCACCGTAGGCAGGGATGTCAAGAATGCCAGAATTGCGTCTCCTCTTCAGCTCTGACTGTCTCAAACTCAGTGAATTCAACAAGTTGGTTTTTTTTTCAGCTAGCAATTTCTTCCTTGCAGTCCTGTTCCCATCTCTAGTCCGCTTAGCTCTTGCGATGAAGTAATTACCCCTGTGTTTGTCACCCTCAGTTATGTACTCCTCAAAAAAAGTGTTGTGCTGGAGTACTCTGTCATATCACTTCATGTACTGGAGGGCTGGGATTAGCACCGGAAGGTTTGGATGGCTTTAGCCATGTTACTGTTTTGAAAGCCAGGGCATTTAAAGTTAACAAAGTAGAGATGTAGGAAAGGAAACCTTTTTGCTGCAATGGTTTAAAAATACTCACTTAATTCTAGCAGGAATCCCTTGGAAGGAGCCATAACTGCTAAGCGGTGCTGGTTAGAAATGGTTGTTCCTGAAGTCACTTTTCTGGACTTCATGAGAGTGATGTGCTGAGGGACCTGCCCCCCCCGCCCCCGGCAGCAATATAAATCACTTCATTAACAGCTCTAGTGTACTGAAGACCTGGGAAGTACTCTGGCTGCTTTATAGAGAGGGACCTACAGTCCAAAGGAGACAAGGGTCTCCCCCAGTCACAAAACAGGTCTGTAGCAGCAGTAGTCATTGAACTTGTGTCCAACTCCTGTGCCTTACCTTTGAGACCATCTTACTTCTTGTGACACTTCTAAAGACGACAGTGTCCTCTCTGCCTAGCTCAGGAACGACTGCCTCAATTCTTTTACTAGGAACCATGAAAAAATTCCTATGCCAGTGTATATAGGGGGGGCTTCTGCCTCTGAACCCTTCAAATGTTGTTTACGTCTTGATGGTGGTCTTTATTGAGACATCTTTAATCTCTTCTTTGAAGAGTAAGCGCTTTAGAAAGGACTGTCTCCTTGATTTGCATTTTTACTCTGCTACGCAGAGTGACTGGGATCACTGGTCACTTCTTTAACCCGTTCAAGACAGCCAGATGGGTCTTCCTCTAAGTGGGATTCAGACCTCATTTAAGAAATCCTCTTTCCTCCCCCTCTTCTCCTGTCAGGCCCCATGCTACTTAACATCTGCTCTATAAAATTACAAGATGCTTAGTTGTCAGGTATTGTTAAGGACACAATTTTTGAGAGGTTACTTCTTGTTTTTAAAGTAAGACTTCAACATTAAAAGCGATGGCCTTGCCTGGTCCTGCTGGGAACAGGAGTGTTTCCATGACTGGCGACAGGTTTTTGAGGACCCTGGCACTGTTCTTGGGACTGAGGTTTGCAGGTTGCCTGTTGCAGGGCATTTGCATTATTCATGAGCACTAAGCTGGTTGCTTCTACCCCTGATGCAGCTAGTCAGCACTTTGGTCCTGGACAGGGAAACGAATCCATTGGAAAGTGCTTCTCCACCAGTCACGTAGGAGCTGGGTGCTGAACGTATCCTTTCCTTATGTCATCCACTTCCAAAATGCTATTCCCAGCTGCGTGTTTATGAAAATGATCTGGGACATGCGACTATGCTGATGCTGCCACCATACAATGCTGCTGAGGTCCCTAAGAACTGACCTGACTTTTCAGCGTTGTGAAAGTTTCACTTGGTGAGACCTGGTGGAAAGCAGAACTACTGTCGACAAAATCTCAAGAGGTTTTGGTGCTGTTGGCTGCTGTTGTGCCTTGTGAGTGATACATCGCTCCTAAATTGACAGGACTCCATTCCTTCAAGCTCACCAAAATCACCTAGTGCTTTCTTGCTCCAGTACCTTTTTCTGTGTCTTTTTGGTGAAGTTTGGTAGCGCTACAAAGTTGTGATTCAGCTGGATTGAGAGCTGTGAAGTACCCATAACCCAAAACTCACTGTGAGAGGGTTTTTTGAGCATGAAAGCCTAGTTAAGCATTTCTTCTTTTAGCCATTGCCTTTTGATAAGCGGTCAACAGAATTCCCAGTAGTTCCTTTGTAGCTTACTGTATGTTTTTCATTAGACCTAGTTTGTGGATAATATACTGTAGTTAACTTTCCTGAAATTCTGTAACAGAGTATGTTTTTGATTAAAAAAGGTAAAGATTCAAGTCTCTGGCTTCCTTATTTCATTCAGTGGACAGCTTTTACTGTTTCTGGACAGTTATCAAAACTTCTAGCTGCGGTCTTGAACTGTGTCGTGGCTAGGAGAGCTCTCCGGGACAGGACTGTCTGTCATTTCAGAGGGTCGGTCCTTTTCTTGGAGTCCCATGTGTCAAATACTTCGGTGCAACCAGCATCGAACCCAAAGCCAAGCGCAGTCCAGAGCAAGTACCAGGTCTCTGCAGCTGTACGTGTCGGTGAGTGATTGCCATCCTGTGTTAAAAAGTGCACAGGAACTCTACTCCATCTGCTCCTGCAGTTGCCAGCCTGCAGAACTCTTCCCAGTAAATGAATAAAATACCAACCACCTCCAGTCATGAGATCTAGGAATAAAGCAGGAGGCAGGCGATACATTTGTAATGCTCTGGGGCTCTGCTGATCTCAGTAAGGGACTGCATCCCATGGTTAGAGAAAGAAAAAAACAAACAAAAAAAAAGACAAAAACCCCCTCTGAACCCCTAAATAACTAATGCAAATGGTGACACTTCCCCCCACAACATCTTCCTGGATGTACAGAAACACCAAATACTCAAGTTCTCCCCACAGATTAATTCCTTGTCACCAAGACTCTCCCGTTCAGTTGCACGGTCCCTCCATAAGCTCATCCATCACCACCTTAAACCAGTTTTAGCTCCTTACCTTGCCAGAAAGCTTTCCGGACTCTCCCTCCTGATGCTGTTAGCAACCCTTTTGTAACTGCTGCCTGGTCATGGCCAACGTAAAACCATTGGATCTCACGCTGGTGGTATCCTCTAGAGCACTGAGCAGCTGGGTGCTGGCACATGATGCTGCACATTTAACTCCCCCGATGTGACCACGCAGATAAATCCATACCACAAAGCTAAAGCAGGACCGAAAAGTCTTCGCCTGAGCACCAGCTCCTCCTGACCAGTCATCCTGTGGGTGAAGTGTGGGCTTCCCATTTGTGGCAAAAAGACCACAAGTCTGGATTGCCTTTTTTCTTTTCATTTTTTTTTCCTTGGTTTGCACATACAAACATTGTAGAAACACGTATTTTTTTCTGCCCCTGCTGATGGCATGCATGCCGTACAGGGTGGGGGGAGATGCTGTACAGGGCTGGGGCAGGGGGGATGCAGCACTGGGGATAAACTGGAACTCCCAGCTGAGCCCTGGCTGTTGCCAGCTGCTGGTACAGCATACGCTCGCAGCAAAATCCCTTTGTCACCCTCATCTGCAGCCTTGCTGCGGGTCGATGCGGTTCCCATGCCCTGTTAATGCTCCGCTGGTCCCACTCCCCAGCTGCAGCCCAGGGCGGGGGAGGGTTTGTACTGTCAGATGTCACCAACGCTTGAACTGTGACCCTTCCTAAATGAGCTCGTATGCTAACGATGTTCGTGCTCGGCTGCGCCGGCAATTGGAGGGAGCAGATGGCCAGGGTGGTCGACAGCTCTTGAGTGGCAGCTCAGCCCCACGAGCGTGACCGGCTTTGTGCTTACCTGGCTGCTGGAGGAGGGGGGGACAACAACAGGATGACCCCCAACCTGTCCCGGGATGGAGGGCAGGATGGTGCCAAGCCCGCATGGCGAGCTGCAGCAATTTGAAATCCTGCAAAAAATAAGGGGTTTTGGTGTGGATGGGTTTTTTTTTTTCCACCCACAGCAGAACCAGAGCTGCGGGCATGCTGCTCCATAGCTGCTCCTGCAGAAGGGTGTGTGGAGATGGCATCATGCATTTCCTTTTGCTTTTTTTGCAGCTTTGCATTCCTCCTCCCTCCCTAATGCTCCCATGCTGCATTTCATGCTATGGAGCAGTTGCCTGCCAGCATCAGCATGTGGGATTTCCTACAGCCCCTTGGCGCAGCTCGTTTGCCCAACGTGTTTTCTTTGCGACAACCTGCACCCCCTGGCTCCTTCAGCTCCTTTTGCATTTATTTTAAACTTTACCCAAGCAGTTTCTGGAAACGTGCTGCAACTTTGGAAAAAAAATGGACCAAGGGTATTTTGGGAAAAAAAAACCCCAAAACCAAAAAAACAACAAAACCCCCTCATTTTTTGTTTATACCAATTATGCTTCTTTCAGGAGTGGAGCCCTGCGGCACCAGTATGGGATCCCACCGGCCTGAGCCTCGCTTATTGTACAGTCAGGGCTGGGGGCTCAGCCCCGTGCCTCCCCCTGCCACCAGCTGCCTGCACCAACCAACCTGCCACCCTGCCCACAGGTCCCGGCCCCAGAAGGATCGAGCTTTTGCCGCAGCCTCTGCCACCAAACTTGCTCCCCACCTTACCAGCACTGGCCGTTGTCCTGGCAGCTCCAGTGGGCTGATGAGCAGAAATGCTGCAGGATGGGGATTAAGAGGTGCCCGTGGGCAGGGAGCTCCTTCTTGGGACCCGAGGCACGAGCTCACTCACCCGCAGGCGAGTTTTCCCCCAAACTCTCCATTCCAACAATTCCAACCCCAAAAGCCAGGTCAGCTCCTGAGTCTTGATGCGTTGGCGGTCTCATCCCAAGGGAAGCATCGCCCTTCTACCTCTGCCAGAGCTACAGCCGACGTGAGCATCCTCGCGAGACGTGGACAAGAGAGTTTTGGTTCCAAGGAGGGAGAGGATTTCTGAGTGCAGCTCCCTGTCCTGGTGCACCAGCCTGACTGCTCGCAGAAATGTAAGAAAGACCAGCACGAAGCAAAAAAGGGCTTTTTAAAAAATATTTTTTTAAACTTAAAGCATTTTGTTGCCAGCTCCTAACCAGTACCTACTGTCCCCGGGAGCAAGTTTGAACCCTGTGGATAGCTGAGCAGGAACAGCCTAACCCTGGCTGATTTTCAGGACCCACCGGGAGATGCTGAGCATGGGGACGTGCCGTTCCAGGCACAGCCTGCTCTGCTTCCCTCCCCGAGGTTCGTACAACTGCTAGCAAAGCAGAAAACAACCCCGAGTTCCTTCCCTGGCAGCTGCGAGACATCTCCCATCCCCATCTCCCCCTCGCTCCCAACAAGGAGCCAGAGGAGGTTTCCCAGGGAAAAGGACTGGGCTTTCGGACCAGCCAGGTGCTGTTGCAGGAGGTCAGGGCTGCGAGACACCCTGCTCGATAAAGGTCCTGTGTGGCTTCTGCCCGATGCCAAACCAGCCTCACCGATTCCAAACCAGCTTCACCGATTCCAAACCAGCCTCACCGGAGCCCTCCCTGCCTGGGGAGAGCCACTACAGGAGCTCCCAGGCCAGCGCAGAGCCCAGCCAGGAAAGCTTCGGGGGCTGAAAGGCAAAATGCAAGCTGACTGCTTCCTTAAAACTTCCACCTTGAAATAAAAAAATTAAAATCGTTTAGCTGTCCTAACCAGCCTGGCTGGCAGCGGGGCAGACCGGCTCATGCCGATGCCCGGTGGCGAATACTTCCCTTTCCATGAACAAGAGTTAAAATTCCAGGCGGGTTACTCACTCATCACAAGTGCTCCTGAGCATGGAAAAATAAATTCACGACAGCAAATTGAGGAGAACTGGAGTTTTTTAAGCCCGTGCCTGTCTTATGCAACTCCTAAGTAACCGCAGTGCTACTTGCTCTGCTAAATAAAACATGTTGGAGGAGCTTGGATTTAAGATGGTTATGTACAGCTAGAAGTCAGGAGGTTACATCTCCCCACTGCCTGAGGTTTTATGTCTGAGGCCTCTTGCTGCAACGCTAAAACCGCCCCAAGACCCAAGTGAAGTGAATTGAAATACTCTTTGATCTCTTCCCAAGACTTACTAATTAAAAAGAAGACAGTTAAAAAGAATTAAGTCTCCTTGCCATCCTCCTAAAGAAAGTGAGCAGAAAGTTTAGGTTTGAGGACAAGAGCTCCAGGGTGGTGGCTTTGAGGACCACGGGCAGATGCACGGGCTCCACCACCTCCACGTACCCCAGGGATGTTTGAACAGTTGCTGATGAAGGAGGGGTGAAACATCCCTCAGGCAAAGCGGCCCTCAGGCATCTAAAATCCTTGGCCAGGCAGGAGAAATTCAAGTCAGTGTGTACTGCTGGGAAGGAGCGCTTTTCCCCCCACCCCCCCCCAAAGAATAATCAGAAATAAGTTCTGGCAAAAAATTTAGCAGCACCCCATTGTACCTACCCCACCGGCGAGACCCAACCAGGGTCCCCATCAATAGCACCAGGCTGCATGAAACAGCCTCTGGCAGCATCACGACCAGCATTTATAAATACACACCTTTGAAGCCAGATGGCCTTAAAATGTCTTTTCCTATTAACTGCTGTCACTCTCCTCCATCCCAAGGAAATGTCCATCAGTCCAGGTGCTCTGTTTTGCTGCAAACCTCCTTCCCAGAGGGGAACTGCTCCCTCTCGCAGGTCCCCGTTGGTGAGAAATGGGGAAGGATGCTTCAACAGGGAGCAAGAATGAATCTGTACGAACATCAAAGTATCCAAATACGCTCCATCAGCCAGCGCAAAACCCAGGCTAAGGAGACCACAGCAGAGCTCCTTCTAACAGCAAAACCAGAAAGAGACAGTGGCCCATGGCAAAACAGGGATACAGTGACTTTAGAAGGAAACATTAAAGCATTCTGCACCAGGCAGAGGGTGCAAATCTCCATCTGACCAGGAGGGAATGCAACAGGAGGGCCACGAAGATGATCAGAGGGCTGGAGCACCTCTCCTATGAGGACAGGCTGAGAGAGTTGGGGTTGTTCAGCCTGGAGAAGAGAAGGCTCCAGGGAGACCTTATTGTGGCCTTTCAGTACTTAAAGGGGGCTTAGAAAAAAGATGGGGACAGAGATTTTAGCAGGGCCTGTAGTGATAGGACAGGGGAAATATAGTTTTAAACTAAAAGAGGGGAGATTCAGACTAGATAGAAAGAAGAAATGTTTTATGATGAGGGTGGTGAGGCACTGGGAGAGGTTGCCCAGAGAGGTGGTGGATGCCCCATCCCTGGGAACATTCCAGGTCAGGTTGGACGGGGCTCTGAGCAACCTGATCTGGTGGAAGATGTCCCTGCTCACAGCAGGGGACTTGGACCAGGTGACCTGTAAAGGTCCCTTCCAACCCAAACCGTGCAGTGATTCCTGCTGCTGGGTAATCAACACAAACACAAGCACCGGGAGTTTACCTTGCAGCCGCACTGAAATAACTCTGAAATGCAAGTTCCTGAGCAGGAGAGCAGGCTGCGGCTGTGCCCTCTGGAAGACCCCAAGTTGCTTTTTAAAGGCAGCGTGTAAAGCCAGAAATTAACAGAAAACAAGATTCTTCACACGTGAAGTCACCCAGCCACACCAAAGTCAGGTCCGTGGCGTATTAAGCCCTGGGAAACCCCCATGGTGGGGGGGGGTGGCAAGGAAGGAGGGATGTCAGCCAGCCCCAGCCTCCACAGGCTGCTCCAAGCGACAACTATGAAGACAGCAAAACATTCAAGTTAATGGAAACAAGTCTTTATTAAGTAACTTTTAATATCAGAAAAATAAAACTCTTATAATTCTCTTTACAGCAAATATATAATATCAGTGCTTTGGCCGTCATAAGTTAAAGGCCCTTTATCATAAAATATATGGTTTTTAAACTTTACTCAAATTGAATTTATAATCCCTATGACCTCCCTACATATACATAACAAAAAGTGTAGTAAAATTAGCAAATACTAAACTATATTGATAGTTTATCATTCTTAGTTTGTGGTTTATAGAAATGGTACACGCACCTAATGTCTGTCGATTCCTTGGCTTATTAGTTGCGGTGTACGATGCAATAAAATACAAAATACATGCTCGGTGAACATTTGTTCATATCTACAAGACTGCAGCTAGAGATTAGGTTTCAATACTGACATGTAACTAGTCTACAAGCAATTATAGCATTAAAGTTATGCAGTACATAATATGCCATCAAGGCAACTCTTATACTGAAAATCATAAAATAAAAACCGTTATTTGTAAACTTTTATACGAAATGTAACTCTTCAAGTGGAAATAAAAAATAAAATTTTCTGTATATTTACTAGTTCAATACACATATAATTTCTTTTTGTTATACTGAGAAAAAAGCTTTGTCTTGTCTTGGGAAAATAATGCTTCAAAAAAAATAGAAAAATCCACCAGAACTCCACTTTGTGTCTTTTTTTGTTTTTGTTGTTTTAATATATGCCAGCACAGATTTGGGAACGTACTGAGGATGAAAAAGCTAGAAACATCCACAGGTTGAAATGTGAGAAGCGCATTCAAAAGACATTTTTTTTCCTTGTGATTGGAAAGACAGTTTTGAAATGAAGTAAACTGATTGCAGGGCCACCGTCACAGCTGCTGTCATGAATAATACAAGGGCACATACGCAACTCCCCCTTTTTCCTTTTCCTTACTAAAAATAAAATATATATTTATATATGTGCAAGACAAATATGGATTGAACATAAAAATGCTTCACATTTTGAACTATATACTCTCTAAAAATGTCATTTAAGAACAGCTTGATCAGACTAACGAACGGAATGTCAGCATCCTCACTGTAAGTCAAAGTATGTGCATCCCAAAGCCCTTACTGAAATGGGATGAAGCCAGCCAGACTTTTCCACATTACATTAAGAAAAGCAGTGGGTAGGAATTCACAAATTGACACGTTCCTGATCCTCTGAACATACTGCCCTTAACACGTCAGGTGAAACGCAGGTGCGTCGGGCAGCTTCTCTCCCCCGCCTCACCGTAATTTATTATCTGAACCTGCCAATAACATCATCCATTTCAATAAATCAAACTATGCTTTAAAAAAAGGTATTTGCAATGCTGAAGAATTAGGCATAAGTTGTTGCACAAAGCAAAAATAATTTCCCGAAACCTGTTTTTCAGAACTGGCAGTGTAAAGAAGGCAGCATTGGAAGTGTTGTTTGATATATTGATAATGCCACAAACCCTCCACGGCAGACGAGTACTTCTGCGTTTAGGCGACGAGGTTCATTGCTGCCAGCGCACAGAAGTCAAACGCTTAACAGAGATCCTTTAGAAAGCCTGTAAAATTTGTTTTTGTTTTTTTGTTTTGTGTTTTTTTTTCAGTTGTGTAATTGATGAAAACTTCCCCTCACTGTGCCATAACATCACAGCAGATGTATCTCTGCTAAACATGCCATCTGCTTACACTGAACCGGACAGAGACCACCTAGGTTTAGTGTTACCATAGCAGCCTTTTGAGAAAGTAGAAATTTACTAACAACTTCAGCCTAATCCCAAGAAAGCCCAACAGTCAGAATTCATTAGGAAGTTTACTAGAGGGTACCATTACACCCATGCCTTTAAGAGTTTTAAAAAGTCCATATATAATAATACCTATATATATTTAAGAGTGAATTTGGATTGCCTGAGTAACAGCTGTCTGGCAAACGGGACACGATGGCGTTTCCTTTTCACAGATTTTGTTGGCACACTCCATGCAGAAGAGATTGTGGCCACAGGGGACCAGGGCCGCAATGACTTCGCTCTCGAAGCAGATCACGCAGTCGTGCTTCCGTCTCGACTCGGGGGGCGAGCTGGACGTGGAGCCGCCGTTGGAAGAGGAATAGCTGTTGGTACCATTGGAGAAAGCGGGGATGTATATGGGAAGGCCGGCTTGGTGGCCGGTGCTAGGTGGGTCGCTCCTTACTCTCCTAGCCAGCGGGTGATCCAGACTCTCTGGAAACGTGGGCGACAGGCGAGGAGTAGATGGCTGGCTCCCTCGGTGCTGAAGCTTGGCATTACTAGCAGGGTCGCTACCGAAGCCAGAGAGCGGGTTTACAGGTTCAAAAGGGGTCCAAATGGTTTGGGAAGGCGTTGGTAAGGAGTCATACGCGGGAGAGTCAACCGCATGGTCTTCCATGCCCACTGAAGGCAGCGTTTCTCCAAACCAGAAGTTGCCTGTGCTGAACGGACTTGTTGGGCTGAAGTCAGCCAATCTATTGCTTCCAAAATAGGAATCTGTGGAGCCACTTCCCAAGGAGCTGGAGCTGTCATTTCTATAATTAGAAATCATCCTGGTGCGGCTAGGAGGGACAGGATTAGAAGCAAGCCACGCAGAGCCGAGAGTGCCTCCTTCAAAGCTCACATCTGTACCGTTGTAATGGAAATCGTTCTCTTCATTCAGCTCGATGTAGTTCCCGGTACGCATGGCTATATGCATCTCGATCTCCTCGCGCGCACGGTCTACGTTTTCGGGCATTCCCGTGACTTCGAAGACAGGCTCCTTGTCTCTGCTGGGAGTGACTATGTAGGTATGGGTCTGCTGCTGAATTCTTTTGATTGTAGCTCCTTTCGGTCCAACCACTAGCCCAACTACACGGTAAGGCACCCTGACTTGGACCGTCGTCTGACCTGGCAGGTTGGGGGTACATGGCAAGCCTCCCAGGGCAGGACCGTTCTTGTTGCGTGACGCTCTGATCATGGAGAAGTGTTCAGCAGCTGAGAGAATTTCCCTTTTAGCCATGGCTACGTCCTCTTTTCGTCCAGTGACAACAAAGATGGGTTCTTCTCCACGAACGGGGGTCTTAATGTAAGTATTTGTCTTGGCCCTTAGTGCTTTTATTTTGCAACCTGTTCAAAGGAAACACATGCAAGTTTAGCAAGACATCTAAGTTTAGAAAGCCACAAGAAAGCCACCTATTTTAAGCTGTTTAAGAGTTTGAAGAAACTGTAGGGTGAAACTAGAAGCAGCTGTTTTTATCTCTGCAACCCACATTAGAGAAAGCGGTAACAACTTCTACCTATTATTTCCAAACAGGCCTCTGACGCAGCCACAAACTATTTTAGCAATGTTTCTTGGGCTGATTTAGCCCATCATCTCCTTGATTGCTATTAGATGGTGAACAAACATGGATGGCTTTTCCTCTATGACAGACATGTTCATAGTTATCCCAGAAATACAGCTGAGCTTGTATTTTTTCCACTGATTTGGTATCCTTCAGTTATTTCTAAGATCCTGCAAAAGGAGCAAAGGCTCACACAAACACACAGGTAAGTCTGCTGATACGCTAGCCTTCCACTGACAAGCATGACCTAAAAGCAAATTAAACATTTACAAGTGAGAGAAAGGTCTGCATCACAACCCATGTAGGATATAGATAAAATTACTGATTTACTGAGAACTCTTCATTGCTTCTTGTTATCAGTAAGTGTTATTTAAACCTTACTCTTCCCTGTGGGATGAAGGCGCTGCTCCTTGAACTGTCAAGTAGGAGTTCAAGCAGTTTGTTGCATGCAAATAAGGCCTACTATGTAATATTACATGCCTATGTGGAATTTCTCTTATTAACTGCGTAAATACAGCCTGAAAGAGAAGCAAAAAGTTAATGGAACATTTGTCTTTGATTTTGGGGGACTGAATTATGAAGTTTACTAGGACACAGTGGCAACTTTCCTAAGATGCTTAAGGCGTTTTGGCATGGTGCACACAGAAGCACCTTCTACCCATCACAGGACCAGAAAAGCCGGCAGTGCAAAATTAAGAGTCGCAAGTAGGTCTATGACATGCAAGACAGTCTAGGGGATTCAGTCTTAACTGAATTTAGCCTATTTTAAAACAAGTTCAAAAGCATGTCACACTAAATGTCATTTTATAGCAAGCCTCATCTTGAAACAACTATAAGCAACATTTGCAGATCAAGTGTTTTCAGCATAATTTCACTCACAGAGTGAAATTTGTTCCCATTTTCCTCACTTACTTTAAGTATCTTGTAACTGTCTGGGTACCCGAAATAGTCTCTTGAAACTGTTTTGTCAGTCCCTTACACCCAAGGTACCACTAGCGATAACAATTTTACAGTTAGAAAGCCACTCAAAGATGCGCTTTACTCGGGACTATCTACTAATGAAAAAATAGCAAATATGCAGATGCCAGTTGGAATAGAGGGAAGGAAGAGCTGCTTCTTGCAGGGCCCCTGCACACAGCAAGGACAAAGGCTGAACACAACAGCCCTTTGTTTCCAGGACACAGCTGGAGAGGAAGTTCATTATCTTCAACAGCTCGTCAGGAGGGCTCTCGGAGGCCCTACCTCCAACCAGAAAGCGCAAGGAGGAGCACGGGAGGGCTCTGGCAAGGGAAGGAGCGAGGCACGGGCAGATCTGCGCAAAGGAAGGGATGCAGACCCGAGAGCCGAACAAGAAGTTCGGCACGAAGAGCAAGTATCTGCAGGAGAGCACAAACCCATAAGCCTCAACCTCCTGCTACAGCCCAAGAAGAGTACTAGCGCTCTACTAGGCAAAAAAAAGGGAAAACACAGGCAAGAGATGCCTTATGGAAGTAGCAAAGCGCGCATCCTTTGAAGCCATGCCATTTCCCTGCTCGTAACCGACAGCAGCACCTCACTTTGGCAATTTGCCTTCACTCCCTCTGTCTCTTTGTTTGCATTTCTCCCTGTAAGTAAATCTGCTCGCCCGCCCTGCTTCCCATCCCTTCACAGTTACTCAGAAAAGATGGTGGGCTCAAACCTTAAACCCCGCAAGGGTCCCTAAAATGGTGCTGCTGAAGTTCTCCCACCAATCAAGCCCTCTTTACTGGAACACCTAAACCAAAGTCAGTCTCCTCATCTGTATCAATTATTCTCCAATTTACACAGATTACTTTAATTCACTCCATTCCACCCAAGTATATATCCTTATTTCCTAAAAATTGCAGAGGCTGCATTTAAAGAATACTGGGAGCATCTAGCACAAGACATATTCATATATAAATAGCTATATAATTCTTTATTATATACTGCAGTTCAGAGCCTACTTAATTCTATATTCCACAGTGCCTTACCAATTCTTATAGTTTACATTTTAGACAAGATTTTCCTGATACTTTAGAAACTCAAATCAAGTTAGAAGTCTGCACCTTCAGCTCTGTTTCCCATTTCAGCTGCAAATTCCCAGAGATAGCTTTGTCAGAGCCACATTTCCAAACTGCTCTGGTGTGAAGAAAAGCCTTCTTGCCTTTCTTCCTCAGGCTGCAGAATGGCACAGACCAAGGTGGGCAGAGCTTTTCTTTTAGGGTATGAGTCGCATACCTAGAAAGCAGAGGCCAAACGCTGCCTCAACTCCCCACAGCGACAGAACAAGACTTTTAAACACCAGAATGCTGGCTTCAATGGAAAGCTGACTCCACAAACCATCAAGGTCAACCCTGAAACTTTATCTGAAAAGTTAGAAAGAACTGAAGAAAGTCACCACATAAGAAACCCAACATTTCTGAGCGAGTCAGTCAATACCCACTGGGTTTTGTCTGCAAGGCATGCTGGAAAACCCCACAACAGACATTCATGTCAAAGCACAAGGTCAGTAGCCCATTATACCACTCCAGCAGGATGATCCTTCTGTTTGCTTTTGCTCAGCTGTTCTGGTTTCCCACCCTCCTCCATTAGTCACTACCGAGGTGATGATATGAAAGCATGGCTGATCCCATCCCCTCTCCGACAATTCATGGCATCCAGAGGTGCTGCGGCCACGATGACACAGGGTCGGCCAGCTATGAAGTCATGTGGCCAAAGGATGAATCAAGAAGTTTCCCAATCTCCTGAGCTTAGACACAGAAAGACAAAGGCGGGGGGAGGGGAGGAAACCACCACCCCACACTTTTGCAATAAATCACCAGATCATTGTATCCAAGACTTTGAAGTACAGAGATAAAAAAGCCTGAAGAGGGGACTTCTAGACTGGAAATTCAATTTAATCAAAACTTTCAAAGTAATTTTAGTTTTGGTAAGATAATGGAAGTCTATTCAATACAAGTTACCATACTTGGTTCAGCAGTATAAGAATTCCTAAGCAGCACATTCAGCCATAAGTACATACTGACAAAGTTGAAGCCAAACCCTTTAGTTTTGCTTTCGTTTAGGCAAAGATTTAGCACTTGCCTGCCCAGGCACCCGACAAGGAGCAGAGCCGTACTGAGCCCTGCAGGCAGGGTTCACCCTGTGCCAGCTGATTTGTATCATTCTTCTCAAGCCTCCTCCCTGTTTTTCCCTTAAGAGGATTACTTGACCGAACATTTTCAACACACTATGAACATTATACTCCCCAAGAAAATTAGGGGTAGTTCTGAAGGAATTGTTTACCTCATACACTACCAATTTTAAACAATCAAATACTTCCTTATTAAAAAAAGGTGATAGGAAGACAGCTTATCTTTTTTCCCCCCCTTGAAGTGAGAGTTAAGGGTAGCAGCCACAGCACCCACAGTCCTCACCCATCACACAGTGACAGCCAGCTCAGCCTTTGCTCCGACTTTCACCTTTCATCATCACGAACAGGACAAGATAACGTCAAACCCAGTCTCGGGCCATTTACTTCACACGGGAAACTCCCCAACGGAGCTGGCAGAGCCAAGCGACCGCAGCGGGAACCCTGTGCACGCCTGCCTCGCACCACGCCAGCCGACCTGCAGCCGTGAGCCAAGAACCACCCAAAAAAGCATCCCGCAGACTCCTCCTCTGCACAGCCATGGCGGTGGTAGCCCAGGAGAAGTAGAAGCTTCCCCCTGTTTGTTTCTTCTGCTGAATTCACCTCAATGCCACACACTGGGACAAGAAATGGGACTGGGAATGGGACGAGGATTGATTTACAGATGAGAATCCCTTTGTTGCGTGGTCTCTTCCACTACACCAGGGGAAGGGAGTCCTTCGTGCTTCTCAGTACCAACGCTAGCAAAATGCAGCCTGTCAAAGCAGGGACACACACACCTCACACCCACGTTGCTGCTGTAACTCTTGCCAAGCGCTGTGAAACTGGGGTTCAGGCACGCACAGGAACCCAAACGTTCTTACCGTCACGTCTGTTTAACCTTGCCTCCCCAGTTACACAGGGCTTTGGGAAAAAAAAACAACCTGGAAAAAAAGAAGTTTATCTCAATAGAAGCCTGGAAGTCACGCCGGGTAAAAATTCAGCGAGCAGCCCCTGTGAACCACAATCAAATGGCAATACCAGCCTGTTCTCCTTCCCTGCTCCTGACAAGTACCCAGCTAAGGGGATTAAAAACAAAAATCTCCTGCAGCTCTTGAGACATACAAATCCTGTGGGTAGACACCAGTACTGCCTGGGCTGTAAGAGCAGCGAGCAGGGTGAAGTTGCATGAACACCAACTCATCTCTTATGCAGGAGGCAGGGCTGATGAACAGCCCTGACCAAACGTGGCATCCCCCAACTCGGCCCCAGAGCAACCACAGGCAAAGCAGAGATTTCACAGATCGGCCCCCATAGCTTGTTAGCACTAAAGAGAAAGCCGCAGTTCACAGGAATATATTTTTCAGTAGCTTTGCCATTATCTGATAAAAGGCAATACTGCATTACAGCCTCCACTCTGAATACGGTCTTTAGCTCTCTGACCATCGATTTTGTACTATGCTGACACCAAGTAAGGAGGTGGTAACAGAATTAGCAACATCAAGCTGGAACCATGAGCTGCTAGTACAGCCATGGCCAATTCCTTGCCGAGAAAGTACGGGCAGGGTCTGGGAAGTCCAGGATGGGACTGCATTGCTGGGTGTGCCAAGGAGAGAGGGGACTGCACAGGGATTTGTTTTCCATCAACCTGCAGCCGTTGTATATGGACACAGCTT